TAACAAACTGAAACAAGTTAAACTTTATAATCGAATAAATTAACAATACGTGTTAGACTGATACAGTCGTTGCATGTAATAAGAAATTACTTTTGGTTGCTTCAAACATATGAGAACAATTTTAATACAGTCAATTTAGTTTATATACCTAATATAGTATAATATCGATATTTCCCTTTATTTATGTAAACTTTTTAAATATCATATTACAAATTCAATTAAACATAAAATACATATTGACCTCTTTTTACACAGTAGATGCATATCGTAAAAAGACACTGTGAAAAAAGAAACTCTGCCAAAAAGTTTGTGTAAGAAAATAAACCTGTGCAAAAAATTGCATAAAAAATTAAACCATGGAAAAACATAAAAAACTATAAAAAGGTACAGTAAAACAAAGAGTAGTGCATAGAATACATAAAAAAGACCATGCAAAATGAAAACCTGCAGAACGAAATCGTGCAAAAATTCCATGTAAAATAAAGAAACCGTATAAGAACTATTAAGTATAATAAAGAAATCACAAAAGTAAGTTTCTCATGACTCAAGTAAATTTTTGAAATAATATACCATAATAAATATGTAAAATATTATCATAAAAAATTGAATACAAAGAAAAACTTCAAAAAGAAGAGAAAAAATCACATAAAAATGAAATGAACAAAGATTGCGTAAAATAAAACAACTGAAAATCTTACGATTTGGGTAACATCTTCAAACTGATTAATGTACGCTTTCATAATTTTGTTAAATAAAATCTGTTAAATACACGTACAGTATATACAGTGTCAGCAAGTGAATGGTCCATACTTCAAGGGTAGCTTCTGTAAAATGATTTAGATCATTAGATCAAGTTGCATTGTTACAATTTTGCTTCTTTAAAAAGTTATCAGCCTCCAAAAAACATTTTTTATTTCAGTTTTTAAACATAACTCGATCACTTTTAATATATTTCAATGAAATTTGGAGGTTTGAGCTATTTTCTTCCTAAAACAGAGGTTACTAAACACTGCCGTGTTTTTTGAATCACCCATATATTTACTTTAAACTGTCAGCTTTGAATGGAAGTAAACTGCTTTAACTAACTTTTCACAGAGAAGTGAAGTTTATGTAAATTAAAATACCCCCAAATCAGTTTTTCTTACATTATTTTGGCGATGTGCAACAAGTATGTATATTTTAAAGAAAATAAACAAGAAACTGTGAATGTATTCTTAGATCACCAATCCTCTATGTTTTAGTTAAAAAATAAGATCCCAGTCACATTCGGTTATACCAAAAACCACCCTTTACGGAGTTTCAATTAAATGCCTTTAAAAGTGATTTTTATCTTGATTATCTTCAACAAAATAAAAAAAATATTTCGATGGCCAATAACTTTTTAAGGAAGTAAAGTTATACTAGGATAATTATTTGATCTAAATCGACTTATTATTACCCAAGGAAGTATATTCTGTATTAACCATGCAAAAATTTGTTTAAGTAAAATTTAAAACTGCATCGCAAAAGACTGTCTAAAAAGATACCTAAATTGAAAAGAATTGTACTTACTTTCTAACAGCAGATATTGTTTCCTTGTTTTTAAATTTTCTAAATCTATCAGTGTAGGTTAAAGTTTTCATAAAAACATCAGAGAATTCCTGTTCGTCTTCTGCTGATTCGTTTTGGGCCTTCCTATGTTCCAGAAGCATGTGTACTTCAGATATCAGAAGAGTTTCGGCATTCTCAAACTCTAAAGAAATAATATTGAAAATTATTTACCCATCTTTTCAGCATCTTCTATTAATTAGAGAAAAGTGTGACATATTTAGTAACCAAATCCAGTGTAATTTAAACATAAAACTAAATAAATTAAATATAAAAATTTGTCATGAACAAACATTTTACATACGCACATGCTGGCAATTTTTTTAATTAAAAACAACTTGATATATTTTGACTTATTGACTCACTTATTGTGAAATAATTCCCTATATAGGTGATAATTGTGCATGGTACGTTACATTTGTGTTCTGGAATAAGGGATCAACCACTATTTTTTCAAAACCAAAATTATCTCATGTACGAGTCTCCAAGACTTTTTCCATGCTAATATGTTTTTTTTCTTATTCCTTAGTCTATTTTATTAATGTACTTTTATAAATTAATTTGTTTTTTCTCCAAACATTTAGACTTATAAAGTATCTATTTCATTCATATATTAAGTAAATATGTAAAATGACCCATACCTGTAAAGGCCTACACACAATGCAATTCACTATTGTATGACAAATTGTACTAAAAAATAGAGGGGCAACCGTTGCAACAAGTTCCTTAATATTTAGCCCACAAACACGAACATCAATCAGTCTTTAAGATTTGTAGTACCTACAGTCTGTACGATATTATAATTACTTTTATTACATAGTATTAAGTTAGTATTACAATGCATTATGTTGCATTATCTTAAAATATTTGAATTACATTATGTGATCATAAGTATTACCAGCATTGCATAAGTATTGCATAAAATCCAGTGTTAATGTGCATTACTGGTACATATTACATATTTTTTAGTTGTGTATCTCCTCTCGCTCCTACCCCTTACACTGAAAGAAATTCATGTTGCCACAAGTAAGTACGTTTTGCTGAAAAGTGTTTGCTACCACAACAAAAAAAAGTAATGTGGCTATATGATAGTTCAATTGGAATTTTATTTTAGTCGACTGTCTATCTGTCCTAAGTGAGTTGCTTTGCTCGGGTAAGTGAATGTACTTTTTTAGAATATCCAGAATAAACCTGAATTCGCTCAGTGCGCATGTGAGATTACACGTGCCTTACCATGGTTTCGCCCATAGAGAAGTTAGAAGTTTTGCCATTTTGCTGTAACACGTAACACGGGATATATGTTCCTTAATCCTTAGTCGTTGGGTCCTTTATAATAAATAGATGTTTTGTGATCGAGTATTGAGTCAGTTTTCAGTTGTCTAACAACCACCAGAAAGTTTTCAATTTGGGTATTTGCGTAGGTATGCAATAGTACTTATATGCATGCGTGATTACATGCACACAATGCAGGCGGAATACAAACGCTAACTTTTTGAATGGGGATTTCAAGATTATTTATGCTTGTTTGAAGATATATACAACATTTTTAGTTGCATTTGCATGGTGCACGAAGAGTGAGGAGAGCCAATAACACCGAAAAATAGTAAATACGGAGTTGACTCACTTGGAGCTAATGAGTTTACTCACTTGGGGTTAATGAGTTGACTCGCTTGGGGTTAATGAGTTGACTCGCTTGGGATTAATGACGACTCGCTTGGGAGTTAATGAGTTGAGTCGTTTGGGGTTAATGAGTTGAATCGCTTGGGGTTAATGAGTTGACTAACTTGAGGTAGCAAAGAGATTATAGCAAAACTGTCTACTTACTGCAAGTGAGTTCCTTCCAGCAAAGCAGTTTTTCTTGTGGTAACTCACTTGACGCCTATTTAATGTAGATATTTTGCCACGGTTAATGGATTTTTACTAACCGTAGCAAAGAATTTCTCTCAGTGTACAACCCAAGCAGAATATCAAGAAATTATCTAGTAAATGCTGGTTCGAAATTGTATGCATTTTAATTCTTGTAACTTTTCCATATTCAAGGGAAAATATAAAAGCTAAATTTTTCTCTCCCCGCTTGAAGGGTGATAAATAAACCCGCAGGGAGTGAATAGAGATATTTTTCACATAAAAGACACAATTTTTATCAAGGAATCAACATAATTTATTCACATATTTATTTTACATCCTACACAAGGTGTCCCGAAATTCATGCAACAAAATTTGGTCACAAATTCTTAAGACAAATTTAGGGGACCCGTATTTTAAATTTTTGCCAAGTGGCCCCCTCTTTCGGAGTTACAGCCCCCTGAAGTCCGTCTCTAAGAGTAATATTTTTTTTTATATCTCAGAACCCTGTTGTACGAGAATCACTAAATTTGGTACACAGGGGTTTTATGACATGTGGAATCTGATGGTGCTACGTTTTTGGCGGGGAACCCTCTTAAGACAATTTTTCGTGGGTCCCCTTGTCTTTGGAGCCAAAAAAATTTGTCCGCTTATTTAAATTTCTTAAAAATTATCGGTCAACTAGAGAGCCATTAAATTTAGAAACTTTTTGTTTCTTTATACTTTTTTCGTAAAACGCAATGTTTTCGAGAAAAATGTCAAAATGTGATCGAATGCATATTGTGATTCGCCATTTTCCTCAAAAACAATGCGTTTTACAAAACAAATATCAAGAGACAAAAAAGTTTCTAAATTCAATGGCTTTCTAGCTAATAATATAAAAAAAATCAAATTTGCTACCATATTTTTCTGGTTCTAAAGGCAAGGGGGCCCAGGAAAGTGTTTTAAGGGGGTTTCCTGCCAAAAAGCGTACCACTGTGAGATTCCACATGTCATAAAACCCCTGTGTACCAAATTTAGTGATTCTCGTACAACATGGTTTTGAGATATAAAAAAGACTTCTTAGGGGCAGATTTCAGGGGGCTGTAACTCCGAAAGAGGGAGCCAGTTGGCAAAAAGAAAAAATAGTCTCCTAAATTTGTCTTAAGAATCTATGACCAAATTGTGTTGCATGAATTTCCGGACACCCTGTATTCTGTTTCTAATTTTTATAACTGCAGTCAATTTTGATAGAAATGTCTAAATTTTGCTTTTTTGTACATGAATTTTATATGTAATGTAAAAATCATAAGAATGGAAGACTGGAACAACAAGATTTATTTACATATTTTTATTCTCAATTAATATAGGTAGGTACAGGTAATAAAAAGGGAATACATAAAGTTTATGGAAAAAGTAAAAGTTAAATTTACAGTATTAAAAACTTTCAAATTAAGTTTAATACCATAATTTGAAAATAAATTGTAATTTTTATGAGACAAAAAAAATATGTTAATATTCCATAAATTAATAAAATAATCAAACATTTTCAAAAAACTTAATCTTAATAATAACAAATAAGTAGGTATATTTTCTATTGGTTTTCAAAAATGTTACTATTTTACAAACAGCACACAAATTTTCACTTGGAAAAATATATATCACTAATATATATCACAGATACATTTTCTAATTTATTTTGGTTTAGTAATATATCCTTCCTCTATTAAAAAGTCATACAGTTTTCTTGTTTTATTCACATCGATTTTCAATAGCCTCCTAGCCGTTTGCAGTTTTACATGACCCATCTTCTTATATTCAGCTATCAGAACTTCCTTAAGTTCCAAATATGTGATAGGAACCAATCTTATATTTCTACACAAATCTGCTTCCTTGTCTGTAAGTTTTTCATATCCAGGCATTCCAATAATTTCCAGTGGTGCAAAGGTCGACCTTCGATTTACTTTTGGCATAACAATGTTTGCATTTTTGCAATGCCTCCAGTTAAAATGAACATTAGATCTAAAAATTTTCAGTGCCTTTCGGTTTTCTTCACGAATTTGATTAAGTTTTAAATATAGTTTTCCTTCTGCTAATGTTGTTATACCTTTTTTCCTGAGTTGTATTAGTCTAAAAATATAATGCATATTACATATATCTTCTACCGAACACAAAAAAATAAGCGATTAAAATGGATCACTTTTGGTTTTCCTCTTTAAAATTTTCTCATCTTCACTTGGCTTTAGAAAGTGCTCTCTGAAGGTTGGTATAAGAATAACATGACTAACAGCAAAATATGCAAGAAGAACTACCAGTGGATATGTTTTGAAAAGTTTTACTTTCGACATTTGTCATATTTATTTGTATTATACCTACATATCAAATTCTCTTAAATCAGCTGTCAACAATTAGAGAAAAAAGATATTTTTGCCTATAAATTCCAAAATTATTTTATGACAAACAAATGCCAAATGAATGAAAAACCTATTTGTGTTATTCTGTAGTTTTCGTACAAGGTGTCATTATTTATAGGTGCACAGACCATTAATACCTATATTATATAAAAATCAAGTGAATTTCGAAAACTTTTTATTAAATAATTCCTAATAGCTGTTTTACATTGACAATTTATTCATCAATAAATTGACGAAGTTCTTCATGAATTAATTCATGAATTTATTGGTAAACAGTGTGGTTTTACACTGCTACAGACTTTGTCAAGTTTTTTGACGTATGAATCAGTTCTACCAATGAATCAAAGCAAATAAATTTCAAAAATGTCACTTTTCCACTCATAATTGTAGTGATACAACAGCGATACCGTTCTGACACATATTATATCAATATTAGTTTTTGTAAGTAACAAATCAGTAAAAACAATGCAAAACTAGTACGACACCACACAATTATTTACATATTCCAATAACATAACCTCATTACTGATCCGAGGCTGGAAATCTGTTGGGTTGGTACTTCTGAACTTCACGAAGAAATTGACAAAAATTAGAACATGCTCCAATTTGTCAAGAACTTTTGATGAATAAATTCATGAAGTTATTTGATAGCAGATTTGGTACATTACACTTGTCCAATTTCTTGATTAAGCGACTTCATGAATTAATTGATCAATAAATTGTCAATGTAAAACAGCTATAAGAACCCCCTTCTTCAAAATTGCAAAACTAGGAACATTTCATTTTATGTTAATTTTAATTGAAAACTAATAATACAATATTACTTATTTTACATACCCCACAATCTATTAATTTTTAAATTTAATATAAAAATTTTATAATTCCTTATAAATTTTAATTTATTTCAATTATTTCCCTATTGTATTTTCTAATGGTCTAATTTTTTCGGAATTAATGTTGAAAGGCAAATTTCAGAAAGGTACCTATATGACCTGGCAATTTTGATATAATTATAGTTTCCAAATATGCAATATTCAGTAATAAAATAATGAATTACTTAAAAATATGAAGGGGAAACTTGGGGAGTAACTTGGTGTACAAGCTTGAATAACTTTCAAGTAATATTTCAGTAATATTTAACTATTGAAATAATTATTTATGTACAATGTGTATGTGCATTTTTAGCCAGCAGTTTTCCCCTGGTACAAATATTTAAACTTCATTAGTTTTTCCTGTTTTTTTTTTTTTTACTATTAAGTTAATGGGCCTGTACACGGTGTCCCGAAATTCATGCAAAAAATTTGGTCGCAGATTCTTAAGACAAATTTAGGGGACCCGTATTTTTTCTTTTTGCCAACTGGCCTCCTCTTTCGGAGTTACAGCCCTCTGAAATCTGCCGCTAAGAAGTCTTTTTTATATCTCAAAACCATGTTATACGAGAATCACTAAATTTGGTACTTATGTAGGGGTTTTATGACATGTGGAATCTCACAGTGCTCCGCTTTTTGGCGAGAAACGCCCTTATGACACTTTTTCGGGGGCCCCCTTATCTTTCGTCGCAAATTTGATTTTTTTTTTTAATTATTAATTAGCTGGGAAGCCATTGCGAATTTAGAAACTTTTTTGTCACTTGATATTTGTTTCGTAAAAGCAATGTTTTTGAGGAAAATGGCGAATCACGATATGCATTCGATCACATTTTGACATTTTTCTCGAAATCATTGCGTTTTACGAAAAAAGTATAAAAAAAAAAAAAGTTTCTAAATTTAATGGCTTTCTAGTGGACTGATAATTTTTAAGAAATTTAAATTTGCGACCAAATTTTTTTGGCTCCAAAGACAAGGGGGCCCACGAAAAATTGTTTTAAGGGGGTTCCCCGCCAAAAAAACATAGCACCATCAGATTCCGCATGTCATAAAACCCCTGTGTACCAAACTTAGTTATTCTCGTACAACAGGGTTTTGAGATATAAAAAAAAGATTATTCTTAGGGGTGGATTTAAGGGGGCTGTAACTCCGAAAGAGGGGGGCCATTTGGCAAAAATAAAATATACGGGTCCCCTAAATATGTCTTAAGAATCTGTGATCAAATTTTGTTGCATGAATTTCAGGACACCCTGTATAAGTAACTATAAATCAGGATATGCTATATATACAGATAACATTTTTCATGGGTTATTACTAAAAGAAAGAGGTTTATCTAAAAAAAGGTTTGTTACAAAATTCCTATAAAAATTAAAAATATGTTCACCTTCTAAAGCGAAGAAACATTATCGCTCGACCTATCATATTTAATTTACCATATATCAAAATTCAATTCAGTAATTCAATTACATAAAAACATAAGGATAAGTTTACCATGATAAAATGCCAACAGACGACTTTTGGCACTATGATAATAATGTGATTGACCTAAAATTAATCAAAAAATAACTCTCTATTGGGTAAGTACTAACAAATGACTATGGGTGACTATGAACGTTAAAAAATGTAAGTTTTATTAGTAACCATTCAACATTTAGTAAAAATAGGCAGGATTGAACTCAGGATGAAGAAATAGTTGTTCACCATATTACAGAAAGTTTCCAAAAATATGTTTACATCTGCTTTAGAATATAAAATTTTTTCACTAATTTAAGGAAATGAAAAATTCGCAGAACATGAAAATTTTGTGTAGAAATGATAGCTTAATTTTTGCAGTTTAATGAAAAAATTATTAAAGAGAAAACAATTCTTAGATTTTTAATGGGCCTTTACTTTCAGTGATGCAACAATAAATACATACTATAGCAAAAAGAAAATTTTAATTAATTATTTTAAGTTTTACATGCAATATTGAAAAGGTGCCCTACCTTGAAATTTGCAGTTTAAGTTCTCCAACTCTATGCAGTCCTTCCATTAATGAATCGAATCTTACAGGTTCACATAATTGCATAAATCTCAGTAACTTTTCATACACCGGTCTCGTGAGAGTTAAATCGTATCTATGTAACCATGACATAGTTTTCCTCAGTAATAACAAACCATGTCTACTAATAACATTTTTCCACCGTTGCCTTTCCCTTAATCTTCTATTATAACTTTCTACCAATGAACACTGAAGTTTTGTCAAAAATTCATAATGGGGATCATTTCTGTCCACCATTTCGGCTTTTGAAAGTATATCTTCTGCATTTTTGTCATATTCATTTTCAAATTCTGATCGTGCTGGGTTATAACCAGCTAGTGATTGGTATCCAACAGTGTTTGGCGCATATCGAGGAGGATCTTCACTATCACTTAATCGAAATCTAAAAGGCACCACTATCTGAGGAAATGTTGCAGCGGCAGGTGATTTTATTTCAGGTAAAAACTGAGATCCATTTCTCTGTAAATAAAAGTAATCATAATGGTCTATAATTTCATTTACATTTCTTTTTGGTAATTCTTGAGCTACTAAATTCCAATTACCATAAGCGACAAGTGATTCGAGTAATGTGAGTTCTTCATCGGCCGTCCAGTCAGAATTATCAAAAAGTATGAACTTAGTATTCAAAACTCTGTAATCATGATCATTTTTATGCTTCAGAAATTCAGCACCGTTAGAGAAACATGTGCAACAAATATTAATATCACACTTTTCACATAATATATATGGATACACTAATTCACTAAAACAATTAGCGCAGTAATTTGTTGTTTCACTGTTTTCCACATATTTATTGCTACAAAAATTAGACAACATTGTGGTTGATGAGAGGTCATCCACTGAAATTTTAACAAACTAAGCTAGTTGATTAATTTTCTTTAAAAACTTACCCTTTGGAAACTGTAAATCTGCTGCATCTTCTTCTGTAAGGTCGGTATTTGTATTAGCCATCGCTTAAAAATTATTCACTGCTTAATTATTCTTCTTTGGCATAAATAAACTCTTCAAAATAGGATGTCCATATTCCACAAGATAACATAACCTTAATTGTAATGCATAACGGTGCCACCCCACCATTGTGCCACAATACGGAACACGGAATACTATAGATAAGAAAAAGCCGAATACTACATATTTGCATGTAGAGATGGGGGAACTGATCGGCTCACTGAGCTGGCTCTTTGTACTGAGCCGGGTGAACTGGTTCCTTCTTAAAGATTTGTTTCGAATCTCAGTTCTCTAGAATAATTTCATACGAAAGCCGTTCCATGGCCTGTTTCAGGGTACGCGTGCTATGGCACAGATCGTGTGAAATTTAAGCGAATGCGCTTATCTATATTTTTTTATTCATGTGACCGAATAGTGAAAATAATGTCTGTTTATTTATATTTTCAATTATAATTAGATCAACTTTATTATCTTTGTCACTTTCAAATTTGTTTTACAAATTATTATTTTATATCAAATGTGTAAAAATTTTCAATAAATGTACGAAATCAATTTTAAAAATCTTGTTTTAAGACTGGGAACTAGTACAAAAATGTAAATAAAGAGAATTATTTCCACTATTCGGTCACATGAATAAAAAAATATAGATAGGCGTATTCGCTCAAATTTTAAACGACTCGAGCCATGGCACGCGTACCATGGAACTTCCGTCGTGTGGAATGACTCTTACGTGGCAAGGTGCCGACGAAAGTCCAAATTCGTGAAACGAAATCAAGAGCAGTGGATCCCTTAAAGCATATACTAGTGGAAGCAACGTCTCAGTGGCCGCGAGTGTAACGGAGGTTTAGAGAGAGATAGAGGTATAGGAGGGTAAATGCTATCTCTCTCTAGCAGCACGCTATTGCATGTTGCTAGAAAGAGATAGCACTTTTATATTCAAATGTTCATTTAAGAATTGCGAAATTCATTTTGTAATATTTTTGTTTACTTTATAACATGAGTACCCAATCATGTTTTCACCTTCTTAAAGTAAATAGGTAACTGATTAAATTAATAAAAAACGAATTTTGTAAATCTGATTCGGATTCGTGATCAGTGTCCCCGAAAACCCCCGTATACCAAATTTGGCGCGAATCTGTTAGTTTCTGTAAATTTGGTCGGCCATCTTGGATCCGCCATCTTGAATTTTGAAAAATTGACATAAATGAACATTTGAATATAGAAAAAATTTTTTTTGTATATTTCCTAGCATTTTTTCGTGAATTTTTTCTATTTTTGACCTGTTTTCTTTGAAGCTAGGAAATTCCTGTGATGTGATAGCTCAATTCTGACACCGGATTCGTGATCAGGAGGCAAACATAGGACGGATAACATATGTCATATGAAAAATACATACAACTTTTTTGTGTGGCCGTGTTATCGAGTATACAGGGTGTCCCGTTCATGTTTCAAAAAAACGTGTGTGCAAGTTCCTCATGGGAAAATAATGGGGATAGTTCATGTAACGTTTTCTTCTTAGACGCTCTGTGTTTGAGATACAGTGTGTTGCATATGTTATTTTCCAAATGGTCTTCCTTAATTATCTTTAAATCAGCTAAAAATAAAAATGTCAAAATTTGTACACGAGTAAACATCAATTGTGGAGGAGTACAATGAAAGAAAAATGTTAGAAGTCAAAATTTATTACATTTCTAAACGATTCTGTAAACTTAAAACAAAACAAAAAAAAAAAAGGTATACTTGTCGAAATTCGGCAGCATGTACCAATTTCGAGAAAAATTTTTCGAAAGTTGCACAGATGTTTTTGTATTCTGCGCAGAACGGGCTTGTTCATTACATATTATTTATTGAAAATATTTTATAATCAATCAAAAAAACAACCAGATAATAAGGTTATGTGAAGCCGCGATACGGATTTCTTTTGTCTACGGCCGTAATGTATTTGCCAAGACACGGCCCTGTTATATACTGCCTCGACCCCCCCCCAAATCTTGACGTCACCAATATTGATGATTCGTTTACAATGAACAATCACAAACCGTTGTATTTACGCTCGAGATAAGGCGACATCAGATTTATTGAATAGAATCTCGTGAAAATTGCACCGATCACAGAATGTTGTGTTTTAATGTAATCTTGATTTCATTGTTTTAATAAGTTTTAATTTTACCGGAATTTAATTGCCAACGTACCTTAGTTTTTATGAAGTTATCACTAAGAGCTAAAGTTTGTAACTTTATTTGTTCATTTTTGTGTGGGGAATGTCTCCTTAAATATTATGCACTTTCGCGTGGACACTCCGTATATATTGTGTACCTATTCAAATGGAGTAGCTATTAAATAATCTTGAGGTCAAAATATTAGTCCAAATATAACTTAGTCCAAAGTTATTTCATTCACTATCTACAGTGTGTTCAAGTTTTTAAATAAATGCGCAAATATCCCGAAATACAGACGTAGATTAAAAAATGTTAATGTAATCAATGTAAAACAAAGATATTGCACATAATAAATCTAATTAAAAATATTTAAACACCTGGAATTCAAGCTAATAAAAATGCATCATACAATTTGGAAGTTGATAGTCAAATACAATATGTACCTTAACGATATGCCAATATATATGGTTGTGATTCTACATGGATATTGATGACGCATTGCAGGACCGAAACTCAAGAGAGCTCTTCTCTTTCGAAATGAACGGGGATTTTAAAAATAATTTTATTTGGTAAAGAAACCATTGGCGTATCATTTTTTTCTTTAAAAACATCAAAGTCAGTGCCCATACGCACGCCACTGTTGGAGCTAAGAATTACGTTTGTATTGAAAAATATGCGCCTCTATTAACTATCACTACGTACTAAATATCTCTGAAATGTCTCAAGCAGTTTCGAAAATATTAATTTCTCCTAAAATTTTAACAGTCCGTATTTTCACAACGGAACATTTTTGGACCATAGTTTATAAAGTATCCTATCATTAAATTGTCCATGTAGAATCGCATCTTTATATTCGCATATCATTAAGGAACACCATGTATATTTCTTAAGGCAAATAGTGATTATTTTCATTTGTTATGATTTTCAGCATCTCCTGTTAAAAAAACATTATCTGTTTAATTTTCTCATATCAATGAATGTCAGCACTTATTTTCTTGATAATTGTATCTAAATTGTTTATTGTTCAAGTGGAAAGGAATAATTTGTAGTTCCTACTAAGCAGTACACACTATTAACTATAATTATTGTGTTTTCAGTTGCATGTTTCTTGACTTAAAAATAGTTCAAAACATTATTTTTGATATAATTCTTTAAGTTTTTCGGTTAATTGCTTCTAGAGTTTACTTAGGAAACATATATCTTTTGAATCTGACGCAAGCTTAACCGAACTTAAGTAACGTTGAGTGTTATACTCGTATTCTAACGAAAGCTAAACCAAGCGTAACAGAGAACAAAATTTCAAGTTTAAAATTTTTATTTCCATACATAAGTGAGCGGTTTGGGCGATATATAAATAAACCCCTGAAATGTGATAACATCAGTGTTGTACAGACTTCGAAATTATTATAATAATTCACAAATACCTAACAAGAAAAATGATTTTCCACGTGAGTATATTTTTGATAAGTAATATTTTTCAAAATAGATTTTATCAAATATTTATTTTGCCTTAAGGCATAGACGAAATGTTAGAAATGTTTCTATTAAATTAAACAATTTTGAATTAAAAAATTTCAAAATATATGAAGAATTTACGGGATGGTCGATTTAGACTTTTTAACGGTCTGGAGATTGTTTAACCAGCGATATCCGATATTGAAATCTGCAATAAATGTCTTCAAAATGTTCTTTAACAAATGTGACTTAGTTTCTATAGGTACATACTTAATTTTTTTTCTCTAATATTAGAATACACTTAGTTTTCCATCGATATACCAAAATTACATATTGATATTATAGTTCCCATAATATCAGAAATTCTCTTTTTTTTTTGGCTTCTTTCTGTGTCTCAATACCAAAATTAGAATCATCAGTTATGTACGTTATTGAAATTTAGATCATTTTCCAAAGAAAAAAATAAATATTTATGAGCTAACCAAATATAACCGTATTAAAATTGTTTCTATTTATTTTCTTACTTTCAGACTATTACCGTCGCAACTTTATTCGCTGCAGCCCATGCAGGACTTATAGGAGGAGTCGGTCTCACTGGAGCTGTAGGAACTGCTGCTGTGGACTTATACGTAAGTTTTTTTGTTAATCGTTGACGACAGTGATAATAAAAACAACAAGCTTCAAAGAGATAATATACTTACATATATCTCCACAAGTTGTCATGCCAATGTCTACATATTTGCAGGCACCTCCAAAATACGAATTTTCCTACGGAGTAGGCGACCCCAAAACTGGAGACCAAAAGGAACAATCCGAAGTTCGAGTAGGGGACCTGGTAAAGGGACAGTACTCCCTAGCTGAACCCGATGGTACCATCAGAGTGGTTAAATACACTTCCGACGGCATCAACGGCTTCAACGCGATAGTAGAAAGGATCGGCAAAGCCGTACACCCACAAATTCTGGTCCAAAAGGCTGTTGCTGTTCCGGTCGGTGTTGGAGTTGGTGGAATTGGACTAGGCGGTCTAGGAGGTCTTGGACTTGGTCTCGGTAAACTGTAGACCATTTTCGAGGGGAATTGTTTCGTGATATCGAAGATAACCTCAGGCATGTTCATCGTTGTTACTCATAGCTCAAGTTGCTCATCTCATATTTATATTATTTTTATATTATGTCTTAGATGTGCTATATTATGTACATAGTAGATAAAATAAATGAATTTTATAAAAAAGAATATCATATTATTCCAGTTTTACTGAAATATTAATGTAAAAACCCCCCCTACACATTGCAATATGCGGTGATCGACTGTTCCATCAACTCCAGGAATAGTGAAACCGGGTATCTGCGTCAGCTGTTCTACACACATTGAACATGGTGCATCGATTCTCAGCAGTGTAATGCTTGGATTTAATATTCACAATACATGAATTTAAACAATATTTAAAAATTCCGTTATAACATTTCGCCATATTTCAATGTATATAAGGGCTTTAAAAGATCAACTTCTTAGATTTCTAGATGAAAACTTCAATCTTTCCCAATAATGTATGTTAAAGTTGAAAATATTCATCGGTTCCTCGATTATGTTCTTATTGAAAGTAGCAAGTACGTTACTATGTACATCAAAATATTTGAAATACATTCTATAATTAACTACATATCACTTATAGGAAATGTGCAATCATTTTCCACAGATATATTTATTTATAAAATTAAAAACCTATGTATGTACATACAACGGTCCATTACATATTTTGTATTCGTTTTTGTTCAGCGTTTTTTAAAAAAAAACAGTCTATGTGTCTGACCAACATATGGGTGCATACTGCAACAATTATATACTTGCATAATACAATAAACTGTGCTCAAAAATCGTTCAAATATGTAATGCATTTGAAATATATGGTCAAACTAGTTCTACATCGAGAAGTTCAAGAAATGCATTTAGGATATGCAAATTTCTAATCTACTTATTCGCATATTGCGTAACAACTAAATACTATAATATTATATTAATATTATTCCAATGTTAATTGTTATCTTTCTATGAAATTTGCATACGTATACAAAGTTTAAGACATAATAATTATGTGAATTAGATTTTGTCTCTACAATTATAACATTTTTATTGTCTACTAGCTGACCCGGCAAACGTTGTGTTGCCATCTTGTGGAACTGTGGATGGAACAAAATAATATAAAAATCGCGATTAAAAATCAGGGGTTGATCGTATAAGGGTGAAAATTTAGAACTGTATGTATTTTTCAATGCTGAATCATGAAAAAATAAAAACAGAAAATTTTGTCCAAAAAATAAAAAAAAAATTTTGGGGTGGACCACCCTTAACATTTAGGGGTATGAAAAATAGATGTTGGCCGATTCTCAGACCTACTCAATATGCTCACATTTCATGAGAATCGGTCAAGCCGTTTCGGAGGAGTACGGGAACGAACATTGTGACACGAGAATTTTATATATAAGATTAATCTCGTCGCTCTTGAAGTCCTCTAGTTAAGTGTAAAAATACTATTATATCTCTAGTATCTTCTGAGGAAATGAATATATTCAGCGATATTTTCAGAATATTGAGTGAGTGAAATTATATTCAGTGTAAAAAATTGTCATTGTCAAAAAGAGTCAACTGAAACCAGCTGTATTGATATGAACCCGGTTACGTTTTGTGCCACTGGAGAAAAATTATGTATTTTATTTTATATGGTGTCCCTGTTTCAGTACATTTTTCCATAGTTGTTCTCACTGATTTAACAGTAATTATAGTTTTCATATTATTTAATTATTTATTAAATTTAGTAAGTGGCTATTTATTTTTTGAAAAACGAAATTATTGGGATATTTACTATAACAATAAATTGATTAATCTTTAAAAATTGTTAATTGTACTGCAAGTACAATGTGCATTAAAAAATTACAAAAAAATATTTTTTTGAGAAAAATTCCGCTTGTGTAGTTACTTGATATCTGCTCTATTGATCTGAGTTGAGCCATAATTTTGTCATGATACCATTTTATTAATTGGACAAGTTTTTAAATTTACGGGAAAAATGTTCGATGTATGAGTGCGCTGAATAAAAAAAACCTCCAATTATTTGCCAATTTATTTTCTAACCTTATTATTTTAACAAATAATAAAAAAAATAGAATTTCACAACAAATAATATTTACAAGTATATTTGATAATAATATAATTTATATATGTTCCTAAATATTTTCCTTGGTTAGCCTTAAATGATTTTTAAAATTAACTCCATACTTTAGTGCACCTTTTTCCACTTTTTATTTTTTGCATGGTTGACAAGTGGTTGACAGTAACCGTTTCATAACAAACATCCTTTCCAATTTGAAAAAATACAAATAATTGATCAAATGATCCAGTTTGAATTTTTTTATCTCATAAGGTAGGTTAATAAAAAATCATAGTTGGGTATATTTTAAGAAGCTGATGACCAAAAATCCTTATCAGTTTTTGTCTATTGAAACTACCAATGTTTATTTCGAAAAAATTACCCCTTTGGAATATCCTGCTCTTCTAATGGCGTTGTTTCATTTGACAGGAATTCAAATGAATTCGATTACTTTTGATAGAAGAAAGAAACTGGAGAATTTTTTAATTTTGATGAGGAATATTCTCCTTAACTCTTGACAGGCTCTGTAGGTATATGATGAAATTTAACTACAAGTCACAGTCTATATGGTTTATGTTTCAAAACGGTTGTGGACTTGTTTGGGTCTGTTTGTAAGAAAATTTGATTAGCTGATCCTTATTTTAATTATAAATTCATATGTTGAATAGAGCACTGTTTAGTTCTGTTTTCTATTAGTTGTATCTTTTAACGCTTCTGCTAACTCAAATTATAATTTTTAAATCAACTTCATATTTTCTTAAATAAAAAACTTCTAACATTTACGAAACATGATATTAAATGAGTTTTATTTAAAGTTTCTTTAAATAGGTGAAATTTAAAAAATAAAAATTAATAAAGATTAATTTCTAGTTAGCTAAAATAGTAAGTACTCTCTAATAGTAACTACATATTATATTTTTGCTTAAAATTAAAATAAACATTTATAATTATTATTGAACAAACAATTTTATATTCAACATCTCCAAATTTTCTATGTAACTAAACTAAGCTGCTTTTTGGAGCAATAATTTTTATACATTATCTTTAGTTTTCAATTTCCTACCAAAGTGTATCATGGGCATCATGGAATAGTCAGATTCTTGAAAAACTTCATTAATAATTAATACATTTTTTTGCCCACTTATTATTGCTTATCTGCTTCATCTTAAAGGAGAACAGGAACAATACAGCATAATAAACGGTCTTTCGAAGAAAGGTGATTTTGGGTATATTTAAGGATTTTTAAAATGTAAAGACAAAAATACTGGAATAGCTTTATTGTTTTTATAAAAAATAATAAAACTAGCTTCGCATGATAAGGTACGACGTACAGAAATAAATATGAGATGAGCAACTATGACAGGTGAACACAAATTGAGAGAAAATCATCATGAAGTATGGTCGGTGTTTTAAAACAACTATAATCCGAGACCAATGGCCTTGCCTCCAGCTATAATCCTTGACACTCGAGTAGCCCTATCCTTTTCAGCCAAAGCATATTCGTTCTTGGTTATGTCACCGATTCTTGATTCTATTTGTTCCTTCAAGTCGCCGGTGTGAGCATCTTCAACTGCATATTTGTACTCGTATTTTGGAGGAGCCTGTGTAAACAGTAAGTATTAATATTTCTATGGTTACTTAAATGTAAGTTTATGTTAATCGAAATTATGCCGACACATTGTGAAAATTAATGTATTAAGGAATACTAAATGTACTGAAAACAAAAAAGTTGAAAGTAATGCTGCGATTCAAAATTTAAGTGCAAGTGGAAGGATTGTATAAAGAGTAATCTGAAATAAAATTCGATATAGGTATGTTTGTATCTACACTTTCAAAATAAATTACGGATATAAGGTATTGCGCTTCCAACTCACATATAAATCTACAGATTTTGTACCAATGGCAATTCCTCCTCCAAGTCCAAGACCTCCAATACCTCCAATACCTCCAATACCCCCAATTCCTCCAAGACCTAGTCCAAGTCCTGTACCTAGTCCCGTTCCAAGTCCTATTCTACCAAGTCCTAATCCCAGGGCTCCGGCATGAGCCAAGGCAAGAAGGCTTGCAAGGACAGCTACCTACAACAGATTAAGTGGTTTCAAATTGAATCTTTACCAATATTTTAAAGTCTAATTTGAAATAAAGCACATACTCCTAGCAAGAAGGCCGAATCAAATTTGATTATGTTATAAAGAAATCTTAGAAACTATATGAGACAGAGAAAAGATTCAATGAACTGAAACTGAAGAAAGAACTGCAGAATTTAATGTGTATTAATATTCTTTAGAAAACAATATAATTTTCTATGTTTAGAATTAATTTAGAAAAAGAGTTAAAGATCTTTGTCAAAATCATTTGTAAATAACTCCATTGTTTGTGACGTGATTCGCTTTACAGTGGTTTGTTTAATTTTTTCACCAAGATTTATGGCCTGTTAATGAATTTATTACACGAAAATAGTTCTTCGCTACGTCAAACCCAGTTTTCATCTTTGTAGTAAATATAGCCAGACAAGATACAATTTTACCGATTTTGAATTTGACAAAATTTGATATGGTGTCTATAAAGAACAAAGTTTCCGTTATTTTCTCGATAACTGTTAAAAAACTGACTATGTCACTGAAAAGCTCATAAAAAATTGCATCATAACGGTTTAAGGATTTTTTCAAGCATTTCAGATGATAGAGATTTTTTGAAAAAGTCTTATTTTTAAAGAAAATCCAAACGAATTCATTTTTGACAAAATATTACGTTGATGAATGTAGACAAACTCATAAAATAATAATCTAGCATATATTTTTAGAAATTCTCAAATAATATTGTTTCTATTCATATTTAGGTGTACAGGGTGATTCACTATAATTTGACTTGGCACATTAACTTTTTTGTTTTTAGAGTTATAAATAAAAAAATGTGAAATACAAAAGTTATACGATTTTTTAGGTACATAATTTTTGAAAATGATAGTAGAAAAACAAATGAAGTCCAGAAAAATAGTCGTGGATGTTAACTTTGTTAATTTAAGTGGAACATTCTGTATACCTATTTTTACATATTGGGATAGAGCGTTCCTTGTCGAACATCATATGTCATGGTTGGGTCCATTTTTAACAATAAGCGAGATACTATTAAAAAAAGAAAATAAGGCTTTTTATTAAGAAAATAAGATATGTGGTAACTGTTAGACCTCTTTCAGGCATTAGTGCCTTTTTTCCACTACGTAAGGATTAACAGATTTAGTTGTAATATATTTGACATATCGGACATTGATACGGTCCAAAATGCGTATAGGTATTTTAACTAAATCTCACTAATTAGTCCGTGAGAGACTTAATTACTCATGGACATTTTTATATGGTAGGCCGTGACAGGCAGTAATGTCATGACAACATTGTTGTTGTTTCATAGTTCGTATCATTATTTAATTAAAATGGGTTACACAAAAGTAGAAAATTGAAATATAGGAATTACAATAGAGTATGAGAAATTACTATATTTTAATTTCTATAATATTTATAGAAATGCCTGAAAGAGGTCTAACAATTATAAGATACATTATTTTCTTAATAAAAAACCTTCTTTCGTTTTTAATAGTATCTCGCTAATTGTCAAAGATGGACCCAACAAACCCTATATACAGGGTGTCCCATTTATATTAACAAGTTAACATCCGCAGTCATTTTGTTTGGACTTCACTTGTCTTTCTACTATCAGTATCGAAAAAACTTCATAAAAAATTGTGCAACTTTTATATTTCACGTTTTTTTATAAATCTATAAAACACAAAAAGTTAATGGAGAAGTCAATACATAGTGAATCACCCTGTATGATGTAAATATAAGGTGTATATATTTTAAAAGGTATACATTACAATTATGCAATAATGTTTTATACAATACAATTAAGGTTTCGTTCAATTTCGTTCAATTATTGAATGTAGGTATACATGTAAATTATTGGATATATAGAAAATTTCTCAAAAAATCCATACGAAATATGTATTATACTATTTATATGCTTAGTACAAATATTTAGTGATTTCTCAAATTTTTCGCTAAACGTAATCCAAAATTTCAAATTAAATTAAGAAAAAATTATCTATTTAATTAATTAATTAATTTAACTAATTCATATAGGTATCAAAATTTCCAATTTTTGTACAGAGAGGAAACTACCTAATTTTCAGATCCTAAGTCACAGTAGAATATAATATGAAGGCAACATTATAACTAAAAAATAAGTTCAATCTATTAAATTCTCTTCATATCAAAAATAATAATAATAATTTAGTTAATTTACTTAACAATAACTTGAATTTAAAAGAATCGGTATAATTTACATACAAAGTAGTTTCACCTATTACTTATGCACCAGGACTAATGCCATTAAAAGGGTTTCTTTGTTATATCTTACTTGGGCAATCATTATTGATGACCTGTTGATGTGAAACAACCGGGACTAAGGCACAAACTGATAATTTTAACAAACTTCACCTACATATATATAGCAAAGCCTAACTTTACATTCACTAATATACAAACCAAATTTAAATCAATCTTCTGATAGTAATGCATGAATTTGAAATAATTAGGGATTTTTTAATTAGAAACCGCACCGTCATTTCGGGGTTGACTGTAAAAATTTTCCCCAGTCTCACTCGGTGTGAACATGTAGGTATTAAGCGCATACAAAGTATTATGCAATACTTTATGGCTATTACACCTATGTAGGTCCATATCTTGGCTGACCAGAATGGCTTGTTATTGTTCATTGAATTACTGGGTGGACAAGTTGATTTTTAAATATTTTCAGCAGCAATTTCCTTGAAGTGGCGACCAAAATGTTGGAGGAAAGTAGGTGAACTAAATGCAAAGTATTTTTTCGACATATCGGTTATGAAATGCATTGAAACTTAGTTCAGTATACTCTATTCACTATTATATTATATTATTCTTTGTTGACTGTTGTATATTTTTCAGTCATTAGCAAAAAAATACATAATTGAGGAACACATTATTTGTAAACCGATATATTCAATATCATACAGGACGTTTACTCTGAAAAAAAAAAGTTGGAAATTACTAAAATAATGGAAATGGGTTACAACCATTTTTAAGATACAGGGTGTTAAAATTAAAAAATATTTTTATTCAAATATCTCTGATAAATATTTGACTTATATGAAATTTTAGCCCATCATATAACTAATTAAGGACAAAAATTCATTGGAATGTACATAAATACAAATTTGTGAACCAATGGTGATGGTACTGGAAGGCACTCTCAATGAAATCCAATGAAATCTCAGAATTTCACTGCAAATTAGATAAGTACTTTTAAGGTCTAACGTTATTTCTCATAAAAAGGAATTTAATTTTCGAAAAATTATTTATGTCAGAAAATCTATAGAATTTTTTTCTTCAATATAAAATTGCAATGTATTATAAATATGCTATTTATCTATCTCGTATCCTTAATCCATATTTAATGACTTTTTTGGTCCTTTGGCTTGAGGGGTATGAAAAGTTTCAACTGTCAAAAGTAATTTCTGTTTACAATTTCAGATGAATAATTTTCAACTAAAATTTTTGTGTTTTTCGAGATATCCTAGAAACCACTATTTATGTGTAAATGTCCAAAAATATTGGCAATCGTGTTTATTCACCGAAGTGGGGAATTAATTTCTTATAACTATTTTTAAAGTAACGGATTGGTGGCAAATAAGCAGCTGTTACGTCATATGACATACGACAACAATATACAGGGTGTCTCACTAAGGTCGGCGAGGTATGATATAAGAGAAAGTTAGGTCCTAGAGTTTCGAGAAAAAAAAAATCATCAATCGACCAAGAGAAATCGCTGGAAATAGTTTTCAAGTTCGGCCGCTAGGGGACGCAATCTACATGCCAAAATATAGAGTTGAATTTTTCTCAGAAATGTTTCCTATTCAGGTATATTAAATACTTAGTACAAATATGGATAGCCGAATTCATTGCGCATAACTTTTGTTATTGATATTTTGTACTATCTCTCGGTAGGAAGGGTGGGGGAAGCCCCTAATGTCTGATCAGAAAAATGCATTTTTTGAAGGATTGACTAAACAAAAGCCCATAGTTATCTCGTTGGAAAGGTCTTTTCGTGCTTTATCTCGTGGAGAATGCGTAATGTCATTTGCTTCAATAAGGAATCCTATAGATGGCATTATTTCAAATGAATTCCGTTTTTTTTTCTCAAAAATTTTAAATGCAGTGCTATAGTATGGTATAATTTTGAAATTTCTTAAGAAAGTGTTGTTTATTTATTGGCGCTATTTATCTAAGTTTAGGTTGTTTCACGTTTTCTTAAAAAAGTGAAATATCAAGATAAAACGCTAACAAAAACACATTTAATTACCAAAACAAAATGCGTTTGTAAACGAACCTACCTAAACCCACGCCAATGACTGATACAATAACAATCTTGGAAATAATAACAAAAAGAATAATAAACAGATATTGGTATTATATAAAGAAAGTACAATTTTAACAAAAGTAAATATGTTTGTGGGTACACATGTTCGCAAGTGACCCATTTTTAAGTACAACGTCAACAGCGCCATCTTGACGCCCGGACGCACCAGAGTTCCCGGAAGACGACCTTGGCGGATTGGCGCCAAGGACCAGGTACTTCTGCGAGCGACTCCACGCCAAGGGAGACTCTCCAGCAAACACTCGAACCGACAACACGTATTTTTTTCACAAGCTTAGTTTTCAATAAAAATAGTTTATTTGTACCGTTGAGAGAGCGTTTTATTTTTGCTGTACAGCGAAAGCAACCCTCAAGTCGGTGACCCCAACGTGATCTTTCACCCGACGTGATCTTTTCAGTGAAAGTACGACAATTTGTGCAGTTAGAGTGGTTTTTATTACGCGGAACGCAGCAAGCAACATGAGCCTCAAACAAGAAAACCACGTCGAAAATTACACCCGTTCAAAAAATGCTCGAAATGCATACCATTATTTTCAATGCAGGAATTTAACCTTCGCTGCGTGTTTAGCGTTCCCTAATATCGTACCTCGCCGATTTTAGTGGAACACCCTGTATATCGCTCTTTGCTTAGAATTAATGTAAAACTATGGAAAATTTTCGGAAAAATTTTACGTGCTTGCAGCAAACAAACTTTTAAAGAAAATTTTATTCGCAAAAAATATTGTCAAACTATAGCAAATTAGAAATAATGTATGAGTGACATTTATTTCGATATTTGTTACCACTTATACGCAAAATAACTTCTACTGCAGTAATATCAGTAATATGACTGTGGGCAAAAAGATGGCGAAGTTAGGCACTTCACAGTAATTTTTGCTGCGTATTATAATACTACACATACTCAAAATTGTGAAAAACTTAAGTTATTTGTCATAGTTAGGATAGCAGGTTGGTGATAAGCAACAAATTTGAAATGATAACTTTAAAAAGATGTCAAACAGTACAGTTCATCTGGGGGTGGTGTGAAATTAATACAAAACAATGTACATACTTATTTTTTTATTTTAATATATAGCCATCACAAGATACAGTTACAAACGATGTAGCATATTCATATGAACGGAAGCTTTTGGAACAAATAAATAAATTGCAATAATTATTTTGTTAAATAACAACATTATTAGGTACTTTTTGAAAAGAAGGTTCAGGTCCAAGTAATATTGCTTAAAAAAATTTCAGCTTATTTTTATATATAAATATAGGCCCGTTTTTGTATATCTTTAATTTATTTCACATACAACTTTTGTAACAGAGTATACCTATGGCACATTACGGTACCATATCTTAATAAAAATTAATAAATAACAATAATTTTTATTGCAACAAAATATATTTGTTAGTATGGAAATAATTTATTTTTTCTTGTCTAGGAAAAATAAGACAAATGGTACATCTAAAGCAATATTATTTAGAGAATCTTTGCTCACGATAACAAAATTTGCAGAGCAATAAACAAAATTAGATTCTAAACAACAACGTAATAAAATTTTGAGATACCTTTTAATTTAACTTCTCCTAACTATATGACTGAGAAAGAAGTGGCAATAAAGGACTTTTTTCTCAGAGAATAGGTAAATATTGTGATATAAAATTTTAGACTTGTTTTATTTAAAAGTGTGTTATCACTAAAAAGAAAGTACGACCGTTACAACTTTTTTGAGGCACTATTTCCGTTCGTGTGATTGAAGTAGGGAGTACTTAGGTAACAAAACAAAACGATAAGTAAAACTATAAAAAACTATTTTCACAACTTCTATAATTATTAGAATATAGAAGTTGTGATAATAGTTTTTTCATAAGGTGTCATTAAAGTATATTCGTTTTAGTAAATACTAAATTAAATTTAGTATGCATGGCTTCCTGAAAAACTGAACAAACTGAATTTTTTGATATAAAGTTAATAAGTTATAAATTTTTTCATCTCCATTATAAAATGTTTGTGTATCTCAGCAAGTATAGAGCAATGTTGATTTTAGGAGGCAATTTAAGTTTTACATTTCAAATAATAATAATATCGTTTTGTACCCAACAAAAAATGTTTTCTTCTTTAGAATAGTTGTTAGGTATTTACTAATCGCAATAAATTAAAATGAAACATATTTTAGACTATAATATTTTTTCAAACACATTTTCGTGGAATCGAACTTATAAGGATTTGTATCCTTTATTGACTGATGATCCTTTTATTCTAGGATTCTGGAGACAACTTGCTTAGTTTCTTGTACGTCAAACAATTATAAGAAAAAATGCCAGCAATTCCGGGAAAACATTTATTGTTTCCATGTATACAATTATTAAAGCTACAATATATACAAAACTATAAATAATAAATTAGAGATGAGCAGCAAGTATGACAATCAACGATATGGAAGGCGATGAAGAGGGCGGCATCAATGATAAAAGTCAGTCAGTTCCTATGAGTTTCACACGGTCTATATCAGACCATGACCTCCAAGTCCGATTCCTCCAAGAGCAACTCCATGACTGGCGACGATTTGAGGATGAGCAGCGTGTCCTATCCGGCTTACTACAGCGTTGAAGCCATTATGAGGATCTGCCGTGTATTTAACGACGCGAATAGTGCCGTCGGGTTCGGCAAGGGAGTATTCGCCCTTAACAGTGTCACCAACACGAACTTCGGCTTGCTGCTTCTGGTCACCTGTGTGGCCGTCCGCCACTCCATATTTGAACTCATAATGAGCTGGAGTCTGTAATTAAAATACATATTTTAATTAAAGACATGTGCCAATGTCTTCTGCGGGAAAGAGGCGACAAGATATTATTTTTTATCAAAAATGTTTAACTCTAAACCTTTAGTAGATAGGAAAACCATTTATAGACAGTAGTTTTCTATTTGTAACACCTTCGTAATTATCAGGAAATAATATTAGCAATGTTCCTAGTGTATTAGAAACAGATTCCAACATTTAGAGAGAGGCAATCGCTTTGATTCAAAACAATGAATTTTTAGAGGAGTAACTGTGACAATTTCATCCTCAGTTTTTTTATTTATACCATCTAGAATGTTAAGGGAAAATAGGTAGGTTTAACTTTGATAATTCGAGAACAGTTTTCGAGAAAATCAGGTTTATAAGTGATGACGCATTTGCAAAATTGCATAGTGCTTGTCGCATATACTGTCTGATACTTCAAAGAATAAGTAAAACAAGGACTTCAGTTGTGTTATCAATTGAAAAAAGATTAGTTCTTCTTATGGAGTGGCAGGTAAACGCAGCAGCACTTTTAAAAAAATTAACAAATTGTTTTGTTAATCTGTTCAAAATAAGGACCACGTATTTGGTATTTAGTTATTTACTGTGTCGAATTTAGACTCACCAAATCAAATTCGTAAATATGTAAACAAATGACTAAAATTATAGGATTCTATAAATTTCTTCATTTCTGCATAAAAATATACATATAATAATAAAAAGTTCCAGAAAAGAAAAAATTTAGTGAATAAGTAGAAATCAGAAAGCCAGAAAGAGAATTGAAAAAATATGTCGAACAAAAGAACAAAAGAAAATAGACGGTACAAATAAAAATAAACAAAATACATTAAAATATTAAAAACTATATGAGGAAAAAAAAAGAACATCTACATACATTAAATCGAAAATAAGAATAAAGTATTAGAAATACAATATTAAGAAATATTAAACTTTACTATAGATTTTTATACAAGCTTGTGAAAGATTTTAAAAATAGCAACCCGTTTTTAGTGCTTGCAATCGAAAATTTTGAAAAACACTAATGGTATCGAAACTAAGATATGGTTTAACTTAGTGAAATCAAAGTCATTGTTGAGTCCTTACAGCAAGAAAGGAATATAGATTATGTTAAAGAATTGGTAAATTTTTGTAAATTTCCGTAAATTATACATATTACATCATTTTGTGCTTTTGATGAATTTCATGACTTTGGAAAAGTTTTGCCAACTCTAAAGTAGAAACAGTGTTAATTAAATATAAAATATAAAATTTAATTCCCAATGAACTACCGAAATTCCGTATATCAGTTTAATGATGGTGTTGAAGTTCATTAATTACAAATACCATTTTGTCTGAGATATTTTTAAGAATATAATATGCACATATCCTAAATAATATTAAAAAGATTTTTATATAAACCCAAAGCCAAATTTCTTCTGAAAAATATAATTCTCTATTGTTTAACAAAATTCAAAATTGATATTGCTAATTTTTTTATACATTTTAATAATTATAAACAGTATATCACTGTATTAATTTATTTTTGTTTGTATTTTTCGATAAATTTAAATTTTTGAGATGTAAAAATCAACGACTTACGTGAACGTCCACTACAGCAGGTCTTGCTGCAATTGAAACTCCATGGCCCAGACCTAGTCCCCCTAATCCTCCACCTAGGGCCAACCCTCCTCCTAAACCTAAGCCTCCAACGCCCAGGCCTCCAGATACAACAGAAATTGCACCAGCTTTAACTGTTGCTATAACAGCAATCACGGTAAAGATCTAAAAAGAAAATTACCGTTATTTCCTTTTAAGTGCAGCTGATTTAAAAGTTTTTATCTAAAAGTACTATTTTGTCTCCTTGTTACGCTCCAAAATTTAGGAAAATTTCTGTTGTGACGAATAAATTGAGTTTAAGAGTAAATGGTCCTAAATTATAATAATCACTTCCAAAAATTGTTGTGAATTTATTTCAATAATTTCAAATTAAGGAAAAAAATATGTGGAAAATGAATATTTGCTAAACCGTATAACTAATGTATTTGAATCTCAATATGTTGATAAAA